GTTAAAAAGCCGGCATCCTGACGTGACCAAAATATATTGAGATTAGGCTGTACGATCGTCATTCTTCAAGCATACGTAATTCATATGTTTGAATCTAAAACGCATTTCAGAATTCCGGGTGACATTTCATGAGATAAGGAATCTACTGTATGTCCGTTAGGACTATTCACAAGGATAATTTGCGAAGGTTCTTTCGGTAGTTAGTTAGGGAAAGGATGCAGAGATCCAGTCTTCATCAACGGACAACTATGATGAAGTCATTTTAGGTAGGAAACAAATCAAAGAGCGTTTGTTATTTGGCCTGGAATATATTATTCACAGGCTTGCATACTGTAAAAGGGTTTACTTTTTTGATTGTCTTATTTTTAGACGAATCTCCGAAGTCAGCCAGGGTGGTCATTTGTGCAAAGAACGTCCCCCGAGAACACACAGTATTAGCAGCAGATTTCAAGAACTGTCAAGGCCTGACGGTTTGGATGGACATCAAAATCGGAGAGCGACCGAGCAAAATAACACCCCTGTCCACAGATTAAATGAGGTGTAATTATAATTTTCCTTACGACAATAATCTGGTTTTCAGACCACAACTAGTCTTTCCATCTGCGACCTGCGAGCCATTTTTATTCCTACGAACAGTCCTGACCTTTATCTCATTGAAAATCTTTTTGCGTTAATCAAGAGAAACTGGGACAAGCCAGCTAAATTATATTTTAATAAAGCATAAATTGGAGTTTGGGCTTACAAATTGCATAGACCATTGATGACTTAATTGTCTCTATGCCCTCCTGACTTATAGCAATTTAAGACAGTAAAGGTCACTCAAAAAATACGAGTACGTTACATATTTATTACGTTTCCTTACTTGATAATTGTAACTTATTTGCCTACAATAGTGTTAGTTATGCAAGGCCTTAGATAATTGATCTGTGCTACATTCGGTTTGACGGTTTTAGATAAAACAAATTAGTTTTCAGCTAATACATCATATTTTATAAAGCCAAATATAGCTTCTTTTTACGATAAATCGTTTCTTTAACGCAGTATGACTTGCAGGCACATAGGGTAAACGGTATGCGTGCTAGAAGGGTCTTCCGGCGAGGTTGATGGTTTCGCATGAGTTTCCGTCCACACTGTGATGAATCCCCATTGAGATTTAAAATTAAATTAAAAAAAATACTTCCGTACACTCTATTACTATTACTACCGAGAGTGCTGTTTGTTTCGCTGAGAAGCAAGAATGAACATGGAGAAGGATGAGGTGGTAGTTTCATCACCGAAACCGACAAGGAACACCGCTTCTCCGATGGCGCTGACTAGTAAATGCTTTGGATTATAATGAAAGAAACTTGAACAGCAGCTAAATCGCTCTCATTTTCCAAATAAACAGTGTTTTGATTGAATAGCCGGCAAAAGTAGCTTACGTAGTCCCCCTCATATACCCCTAGTTCCGGCATTTTGTACTACGAAAACGGTGGTTATAAGGTTTTGGGGGTGAGGAAATAGGATAGGCAGAGAAAGGAAGTGTTAGAACTAAGTGTAAGATGAAAAAATGTAGACGAAGTTTTTTGCCGCGGCCGCTGGGAGTAAGTTGTTCCGTATGCAAATTGAAAGTATGCGCGGCGCTTCGCGCCGCGGACTATACTAATCTAACTCCAGAACGGTCAGTTTGACCTCAGGTTAATTGACGTAGACGTCCTCAAAACCAATATTT